ATGTATGGGACATATATAAACGCCCCGCAGAGCAGCACCAAACTTGGGTCATAATAACATGCTAGTGCAGCAGTTCAGACCACAGACCGCAGCACAGATGTCACTCACAGGTACCCCTTTAAATAGGGCCCAGGATGCTGCTACAGCCCTGGTGGGGTGAACTCTCACACCAGATGGGACTGGGAGACCCCTGCTGCTGTAAGCTAACAAGATAGAGTCTCTGTCTGAACAGAGCCCTGCCCCTGAGTGGGTTAGGAACACACACAGACAGCTGATCACATGACCTCACCTCCTGTGTGCGGTCAATGTAAACACGCAGTGCACGTAGAGGACACAAAGAATGTAAACTCCTCTGCTCCTCAGAGGGAAAAGGGGGAGGATAAAAACTAGAAAGCTCAATGGACATGGAGCTGTAGTTAGAAGGTATCACCTTAGGGAGATACGCTGAGTTTGGATGCAGMACCACCTTGGAGCCATCAGGTGAAAACTGAATACAGGAGGGATTCACAGTCAGAGCATGGAGATCCCCAACCCGTTTTACAGTTGTTAGTGCGAGAGGCAACACAACTTTATATGAAAGGAACTTCATATCTACAGACTCCAGGGGCTCAAAGTGGGGGTCACAGAGAGCCTCGAGCACCACAGTAAGACCCCAGGTAGGTATACTGGGTTTAATAACAGGCCACAGCCAAGGGGATGGTGCGCATGCACGCCAGAGAGAGAGTGGCATCGCTAGGCGACCAACTTGTGTTGGCGATGTGCTGCTGCCCTCTGTCGTATGAGAGAGGCGCAGCATTACCTGACTGTCGCCCATAGCTTTTTATTTATTTGTGTGTAAAGTTTATACTTTGATACTTTTGACACATTTTCACAAACGTTAGAAACAGTTGTGCTTTGAACATTTAGTGCACCCAAACTGGGGGTTTTTAGTCTAAACACTGTGTGAGTGTGGTGGGACTGGTGCTTGGGAGACTGTGTGAGGGAAACGCAGTGCCTCTTGGGGCTGGTTCCCTGAACAAAACAAACAAGATGCCTTTAGGGCAGCAGCCGATAGCAGGCGATCATGTCTCCCTGGCCCTGAAGTGACAGTCCCACAGCTAGGAGGACTGTCTTCTTCCACCGAGGCATCGAGCCCTTCAGAAGACCCAGAGGGGGACCCTTGCTCCAAACCGAATGGCGGGGAGGTTGGTTGCAGTTCTGAGGCTGCACTGACTGGGTGCTCAGGCTCCCAGGCAGCACTGCTCTCTTAACAGGAGGCGGCTGAGCAGCCAGCTTTTGTGTGCTAGTCCTCTGTCTCGCGTCACGTCTGGGGACAATACAGCGCAGGGCTTCAGCCTGCTTTCCCCTCAGATAAAACTTTGTCTGAATGACGTCGAGAGACCGACCAAATAACCCAGCAGCTATAACTGGTTCGTCCAGGTATGCAGCTCAGTCTCTGTCGGGACATCAGAGAGCGTCAACCACAGATGCCTCTGCGCCACCAGGGTTGAAGCCATCCCTCTGCCCAGGGAGAGCGCTGCACCGCAGGACGCAGAGAGGATGTAATGCGCTGTGAGTCTGACCTTGTTAAAGAGAGGTAACAGAGGACTCTCGGGCGGTACCAGAGCTCCGAGTTCCTCCAGAGACATAGCTTGGTATGTCTGGAGCATGCTAATGGAGCTCAGACCGTGAGCAGTGGTGGCCTGAGCCTTGTAAAATTTTTCAAGCTGCGCAGCAGAAACTACACAGAAATACTGCCCATAACCGGGCACTGTGACGCCGGTGGACAGAGGTTTGCTCCAGCAGGACGTCAGCTCCGAGACGAAGTCTGGGAACATGGGAAGACGGTTTTTCACCGCAGTCGGTTCAGTGGGGAGAAAAATCCCGCGAACCGCGACGGCTTTTGTTCTGAACCGTACGACGACACAAGGAGAGAAAAGACGTGTCCTCCTGGTCCGCCTCCGCAGCAGCAGGCCTCTAGACCGGGCCGGGTTCCTCGTCGTCTTTCGACAGATGAACATCCAAGCCAATATAAACAGCTAACCCCTCCTGTACTCTACTCGGTCCGCCCAGCTGGAAGCGGGGACTTTGACCGACAAATACTCCTCGTCAGACTCGGACGGAACCGGGTTACTGGACTCGGAGAGGAGTGGGTCTTTTCATGAGACCACGGTTTCACCCAGCACTTTTTCTAAGGACTTAACCCGTCCCTCCAGGGTTGAACGACAAAGCTAGCGGCGAAACGCACATGCTTCGGGCTCCGCCAACGCTCTCTGAGTGTGAACGACCCCCGGACAGACCGGGCAAGACTCGTGCTGGTCCCTGTCATGGAGCAAGAAGCCACACCCACAGGGGCGACCGACGACCTCTGCTCCTTGAGGTAATTTTGCGCTCATCCCGAACCACAAAATATTCTATTTTGTTGAAATGAAAGGCTACTCAAAGCTAGCGTTCCGCGGACAGACACACTTACCTGTAGGCAGCAGCGGCCGACACCAACAAAAGCAGTTAAGCTATCTTTAAGAGCCTTCCAACAAACAAAGCTAACTAGCAGCAGCTAACTAGCTAGGTTGGAAGAGGTGGGGCTCTAGCGAGGGGAAGAGCAATAGAACTAAGGAGTGGCTGTGATGGTGACAGTATATATACATGTGTAGGCGGAGCCTGACATCTGTCCTCATCACGTCACCTGCCTAAAGGTGTGATTAGAGGTGGGTTCAGCCAGGACACGCAGGAGCGTGGTTTCCCACACATGATGTTGTACTGAGTGTATTGACTGAAGGGGAACTTGCTGTTTCAGCAGCATTTAATTTAAAAACTGTACTTTTGAGGTTAAACAAATGTTCATAATTAATATAAATAAATTACAAGTTAAAGGGGCATGGACATTTCTCTGTTTTTGTACCGAAAAAATATCTAACCGTGAGACTAAGGTATCGAACTGAACCGTGAATTTTCTGTATCGTTTCACCCCTGATACAGTATACACTCACCGGCCACTTTATTAGGTACACCTGTCCAACTGCTCGTTAACACTTAATTTCNAATTATTAAGTTATTTGCTTTTGTGTCATATAATAAATATGATTTTGGTCTGAGAGAGAAAACTGGAGTACCTGGAGAACAGAAAGTTGATCTAGCTACCTTCTTCCTTAGAGGCAATATGTTGCTCTACCATCTGTGCCACTGTACTGCCTGATTTTATATTTATTATATAATTATTAAATTATTTAATTAATATTTGATTAAAATATATCTATGAATATAACCTCCTGAGAACCTCCATCTTTATTTGAGAACATTGGTTTTAGACTGGTCTGGTTGTCCTTATTCAGAGGAGCTTTTAATTTTGTTTTATTTTTTTAAATAAAATATAAATTAATGTTTTTAACTCTTAATTGTTAAAAAAAAATCAAAGTTTGTTTTTATATTTATGAGTTTCTATTCCTAAATAGGTAGGGGAAGTGAAAAAGTAAAAACCTGGATAAACTGGATACTCGACTGAACTAAATGACACATTATATTTGAGGCCCAATGACCAAAGCGTGATGCGTAGAGTTGACCAGTGACAGGAGTTGCATGAGTACCGTGTTGAACTGCGGGAACTGAAGCCTGAAGTCCTSCTCCTCCTGTTGGTCCTCCGTCAGTCCAGAGCCGTGGGTTTGACTGCGGCTGCGGAACAAACTGGACTCCAGCTGCTCTTGCTCTCTCTTATGCCTTTCTTGTTCATCCCACTCGTTTACCAGAGCCTGCAGAGAGTCACAGCAGTCAGAGCAGAAACATGTAGCTTTTGGTTTCAACTAAATTTTTTTTTTCCAAAGGAAAATGTGTCTTTTCAGCAAAAAATGTAAATAAATGGAAAGGATAATTGTATGCTAACATTGGCTGAAGAAGCTGAAAGTGAGTTGTTTGACATTAAAAAAACACACTAACTTTAAAAAATTAAAGCAAAATACTTAATAGATAAAAGTGGCAAAATACTAACCAAAAGGAAAAAGAAGCAAAACTATATCTTAAAAGCTAAAGTAGCAAATAGCTAGTTGAAAGTATCAAAATGTTATGCAAGAGCTGAAAGTGGCCAAGCTGTACCTACAGTGGGGAAAATAAGTATTTAGTCAGTCACCAATTGTGCAAGTTCTCCCACTT